ACATACATACATAGAGGTTTTAGATGTTTATTTATTTATATTGTTTGCATAATGATTTAAAGAGCTAATATTCATAGTCCGTTTAAATTTAAAACGTAAATCTTTATTTAAGTCTTAAATTATTATAATGTATTTTTATTGCATTTAAAAATATAGCTGATTATTAGCATTTGCAATATTATTAACGTTATAGCATTAATTGCATTATTAGCATTTGTTGCATTATAGCATTTCAAGATATTGCTAATTAAAATAAGAATTAATAATTGAAATAAGAAATTGGCTATAAATATCGGTTTATCCTGTTACGATTATTGGCGTAATAAGTTTTCTTTTTGCAGTAAGCCAATACCTAAACTTTGACCAATCATAGTCGATTATTCTTTTTATATTTGATTGTAATTGGTAAAATTTTTTACCGATTAAATCTTAAAACTTAGTATGTCTTAATATGGCTTATTGTAAAAAGCCTATAAAAAAGTTTCCATATGTTTTCGACCTGCAACTTGAGTCAATTTCTTTGAACTGCACACCGAGATGGAAGAGCGTGGTTTAGGATTAACCGACGTAGTCGTTATTGAAAGACACAGAAAGCATGTTTAAGTATGATAGAGAGGGTACGAAGTTTAAAAATTCCCACATATTTTCTTATTGGTTAATTTAAAGATGTTGATAAAGACAGTCGGTATTAATGATATATAAATTTAAATTAGAGTTGTTTGTTTATGCATAAAATATAATAATCTGTATTTACGTGAAAGTATGTGTATTGTAACAAATTTTCTCATTGAAAACGGTAATATTCTACATTTTTTTTCGTAGATAACTAATTAGGGAACCTTTTCCTTTATGTCCAATAAGCTACGAGATATATCGAGATATATGATTTATTTTTATGTAAAGCGAATAGGTATGGCCCATGTTATTTCTAGATGCAAAAATCAAATTTTATTTTACATAGTTATATTTGTACATACATAGTTATATTTATATATTTTTACGCATAGTATAAATATAAACTTTTTTTCTACTTGATTAAATTTTACACATACTTGTCCAACATGTTTTGAAGCAGAAGTTTTATACATTTTTTGAAAAGCGGCGGTATCAAAAGGAACATTATTTTTTCTTAATTCGGTAGAGTCATCGGGAAATAGTTCGTTAGTTGGTATATTAATAAAACACATATGAATTGTGACATATCGTTTTAATGTATTCAGCGGTAATCCTGCCTATAAAAAAGCATACCATGTTAAAAATTTTAAGCTTGTTTTTGAAATAAATAAACTGTAAAGTAATTGTTTATCGCAATTTTAACAAAATTATCTGCATAACCAGCTTTATTCTGCGAGCATTATAATGGCGCTATTTGAATTTGTGTAACTCTTCATATAATTTGCTGTAATCCAAATTTTCGTGCACTTTTATAATACAATCTTCAGTAATCTTGTTGATTAGATGATAAGTTCGCGTAAAGGAGGAAAGTTGTGGTTGAGGAACTCTGTTCTTGGCTAAAGTTAAAGCTGTCTGAAATTCTACATAAATATGATATTTTAAAATTGTAAGTCGCAACAACAGTATTATGAATATAATGTATCTTCTTTTATGTTGTTTTGATTCTGCATAAATGCATTTTTTTCCGGTAGAAAAGGTTAGTGAAAAATTAGTAAAATGAATTAGAACTGTTAAAAAGTTTCTCTTGAATATCAAACATAAACGACAATATATATTCGTCGTAATAAAATAAGTAATCACTGTCTCCATTTATAAGTAAGTTTTTCTAAATCATATTTCTGTAAGATGATTTAAACAATTTAATATACAAATAAATAAATTTTATATCAAATTTATACTTATCATATTTTTAGTAATTGGCAATGTTTTTCGAATTCTGTTAAAAGGATATACTCAAAGAAACATGATATGCCTGGGAATTCTACTGGCTTTTTGAAAGTTTTTGTTCTCACACATAAGCAACATTATGCCTATTAAAAAAAAAAAAAATATATATATATATAACGAACGTATCATGCATAATACATGTTGAATATTATGTGGAGAAATAAACATAATTAATGGAATGACTTGTAAATGATTTAAAATTGAGCAATACATTTTGGAATTAAATAATGAAAAATTCTTTTAGTGAAGAAAGTCAATTTTTTAAAACCGAAACTTTTAATAATACAATTAAATCTTAAAAATATAGATATTTTTTGTAAGACCCGTCTTTGATATATTATAATTTTAATAAATTTTAATAATAAAGTAAATAAAAAAATTGGTGTAAGATATATTCTAAATGCATCTTAAATTATTTTGTTCGTACCTTAATTTCATTTTTTATATCTTGTTGTTGAGAAGAACATTTTTGAATCTTTATCGGATATTAGCAAAGCTTCTAAATCATTTGGTAATCTGATAGCTCAAAATTTAAGAGACAAAGCAAACAAAATATTAATAAAATGAGACGTCAATAAGAGTGTTGTGCATATTATTGATTATTTAAAAACATTTAATTCCTGCATTTATCATTACAAAATACATTATAACGTTTCTTCTAGAAATTTATTGTTACGGTATTTCTCACGCTTATTTCAATTGAAATCGTGCATATTGCTGATCGACATTTCTTTCGTCTCATCTATATATTCTTTCTTGTCATTCTCCGATTTGACGGGAGTTTCTAGATATTCAACTTGACAACACTTATTATTTCCATCCTATTGCATTATCTCGTATAATACGATCTGATGAAAGAATTGCCAATGTTAAGTCGTTTCTGGTAGATTTTAATCAGCACTTTGATCAATACGACTTTTTTTTTCGTTATTCCACTTGTTTTCAAACAGAAGTCGATATACGACTAACTTGTGTATATGATAAGTAAAGGTTGTAGATGTTTGTATTATTCCCACTCTCTGGTTTGAAAGCCAATGGTCCAGTAAGTCAGTTAATGTATTAGGTATACGGTCCGTTCTTATACATTTAATATCGTTTAAGTACTATCTTAAAATATCATAAACCAATCATTGAGCTTTATCATCATCTTAACGTATTATTTAAAACGGATAACTTTAAATAAGATTCATCTCTAATTGCCTGCCTATTGACTATTGAAATTTGAACTTAATTTAATCGAACTACACATTGAGATAAAAAAGCGTTCTCCGGTTTAGCTACCTGAAATCTAACCACATACGTCTGATAATGATCAGTTGAATGAACAGAGAGCATACTATTTGGTCTGTTTTCTGTTCCTAGATAGAAAAAGAAAAAGAATATATATGATGTTTATTTAAAGTATAAAACTCGAAACCCACTCTTAATGAATGTTGCATTAATTTAAAATATTTATATTGCATATTACTAACTAATAGTTACTATCTGATTTTTAGAAGCAAGTGTTCTGTCTGTTTTTTTATGCTCGCCAGCTGTCGCTGAATCGCAAAATTATTTTTTTCAAAAAAATAGGAAACGGAACAGTTGACTTAAAAAGCAGTTAAATTTCTTCTTTTTCTCGAAAGTATAAATATATTATTGAAAAGTATATATTTAGTATTTTATTTTATTTTTAAATCATGTTTCTACATAATATTTACTTATCTATACACAAAAGTAAAATATTTGTTTGATCTCCAGTTCAGTTTATAGAAAAGTTTTGCTCAACTGGTATGCGACCTTTAAAAGAATATGAATTTTAAATCATATATAAGCTAAGTATAAAAATGTTTTATACGAGTGAGGAGAGGAAAGAGAATGAGAGAAAGAGAGTAAAAGACATATTTTATTGAAAATATTTTGTCGTGTTTAGAATACAAATGAAAAGTTATATCCTGAGCAAATACTTTATTTCCTAACTAGCATCCTCTATTGTTATCACAGTATATGTTTTAGTTAAGTATTAATACAGTTACTTAATAATATGTTTTTATTATATATCTATTTATATTTTCTTATTAAAGAAAAGTATCGTTTATATATAAAACTAACTTTAATGTAAGAAAATTTCGTTTTATTAACTTCGAATATTCTAGTTCCGTAGCTACATCCAAAATTTTATAGCTGTTAGAATAATAGTTATTATATTAATAGCTATTATTTGTAACAGCTTATCGGAAAGAACATAGAAATATAATAAATGTATTTGCAAAAAATTCTCGCATTGGTTTATTGCGTAGTTGTTATGCGAAAGCAAATAGCTTAATTTTAATTATTCAACCGTTAAAAAAACTTCATTATCATAAAACAATATAAGTACAATTATAATTTGATTTATATTATACTATTAAATGGTTAATAGTATAATTAATGTGTTACATATTCTGTGTTCTAAAAGGATTTGTTCGAACGTTTAGTTGGAAATATGACAAGTTTTTTCTTATAATCTTCTACATTCGTAATATAATGATTTTTAATGTAATGATTTGGCTTGTATTGCTGATAATCGTCATTTATATGTTCCAAATGAACATATTCCGCTTCTTTCTGAGATTTTACAATATGTAAACTCAATTTTCTAAAATTACTTTCGTCCGATATGTGGTCTGCAGACCATTCCTTCAGCTTATTAACATTTATTTTCTTTAGAGCAAGTATTTCCTGTTCATGAAAATCAAATATGTAAGTACATTTAACAATCACCTCCCAGTTTCTTTCAACTTCGTCTTCAAGATTGGCCTTGTGATTTAGATCATGTGATTTAGATTTTAGGAACATTTCTTTGTAAACATCCAATTCCTTTTCTGTAAACATTTCCAAAACGTTTTTAAACCATCTCAAAAATTGGTCGATCCTCTTATCAATGTACTCGGTTGTGTATCTATCTGCCCGAACACGAATAGTAATGAAATATCCTAGAATTCCGTTAACGTCTGTAACGTCGACTGTAGTAGATCCAAATTTTTCAGTGGGTAGAACCTCGCATAATTTAAATTTCATTATATACTGAAAACAAGTGCAAGTGAATGTGATGTGCAAGTAAAATTAATAGTGATAATCTAATATCTTATTCGTATTTCATTAACTTTTAGAAATAAATAAATATACATCAAAGATTCCATGCATTCAAAATATACAAAACAATATGTATATATGATTTAAAGAGATTCTTAAGTTGTCTATATCACCGATTAAACGCAATAATTTTTGTATAACTTTTTTTTTTACAGATTTAAAAATCCTTTTCCAGGATTAGTTAGAAAGTATACGTATTAATACGCGTTTGTGAGATATAATTTATGCCGAAAAAAATGATTTAAATTGAGATCTCCTTTATCATTTTCTACTCTAATATGACGTTATCAATATCGAAACAACGTTTGCTTGATATAAAAGCTTTGCATTCTGTACTTACAAAATTGTGATCCACTGACTAATAATTTATATAAACAAACAACGCAGAATTCTTAGAATTTGATTCTTTTAAAAGTCTAATTAAAATGTTATTATTCTAGGAAAATTTATGAATGCATCAATATATGTGTGTGTGAAATATTGGAATACAGTAGTGAAATATTGAAATACAGTAATATATAAAGATGTTGATGCGTCGCATTTTTTCGCAGTAAATAGCGATCTCATCGGAGTTCACGTTTCATTTTAGGATTATCTTAATACTTACAATTATCAGATGAATTAATGTCGATAATTCAATCGTGTTGATGCCGGTTTGATAATAATTTGATACCATGGAAATTGTATCTACTTTGTTGATATTTTTAATTTTATAATAGCTTGTGCCTAAGGGTATCTGAGTGCTTCTAAGCTGTATGGTATCTGAGTGTAAAGGTCTACAATTAATTGTTTTAATATATTGCTGTAAGGTCTTGATTGCAACAGTTGACGTCATGTTTCCTTGCACGAGACATTGAATGTATAGACGTTCGGTAAAGGATTTCACAAAGTCTTGAAAGTTTTCCAAAGTGATATCCTGTAGAGCAGTATGCATATCAATTAGTGAATGATGGACGAAGTTCTGTATCGACGATGCCACGTCGCTGAAAGTAAGAGTAAAGATATTATTGATTAGCAGAAATGTAACGCGATATAATTTATTTTATGATATCAATTGTTACAATTAATACGTTAATTATTTAATTTAGTCATGTAAGAATTTTGTAATTGTTGTAATAATGCTTGAAATAATAAACAATCAGTACCTGATGAAACAGTCAGGTATGTTAATTAAGTCATAATATGTCTGAATTCGTCGAATTTTGGCACTTTCGAATATGTTTTTCGTAATTAAACTTGAATATTCTACCATGTTATGTGCAAAAAGAGCTGCTAAAAGCTGCAGTATAAATATAATGATATATCTCAAAATTGTATTTATAACTCCAAAGCACTTTGAACGTATACTTACTGGCAAAGTTTCATTAAGACCACTTATTTTTAGTGTAAAACCATTTGTATTGACACTGATATTATATTTAAAACCAACCTGTAGAGCTGGATATAATTCATCGGCTAATAACTGTTCCAGTAATATGCAGTACATATCCATGAGAGCTTCACTGAAAATGTCATTAATGTTCACATCTTTTTTAATAAAAATTTTTTCATAAAAATGTAAATAATTATATAAAAATCATAATATTGGTAATTATAAGTAAAAAATTGGTACATACATATGATGTCAAGTACAGTAGTAACTAGTACAATATAATATTGTTACATTTTCTATGCTACTTACTTCTTCGACGACTGAAGTTTTAGAGGGGAAATAAAATAGAAATGCATATAACATTTCGGCAAACAACGCTTAAAATCCGGGCGATACCAAAGCTCTGACATAGAATTACTGTATAATTTCACAGGATATTTTTCAATTGTTTCGTTTGGTGTTTTTAGTAGATAAGAATTGTTGGCAAGGAATATATTTGGTAATGGTAAATGAAATTCTGGTAATGGCTCGATGATTTTCCAACGTTCAATCCACTCTTTTGGTATCTCAATATCTGTATATGCCGTTTGCCACCACGGTTCAACTTTGTTTAATTCGGAACTACTAAAATTAGAAAAAATCATAATATTTGCCATCTCAGGTGCCAAATAATTCAAACATTTTTGTATAACTTGTGCATTATAATTCGAATCAAACTGGTTTATAGTTATATAAGCCTTCGGCGGATAAAAATGCATATTCATGGACAATTGTTTTACCTCAAAGATACCTATTTCGTCGTAATCAGCATATCTAAAAAAAGCTTCAAGTATACATGGTGTTCTATAAATATGTTGATGGCTTTTATCTTCAATCATCTTAAATACAAATATTTGTATCTAAAATTACTTTACCTAAAAATATTTTGTTTAATCTTAATAATGTCATTGTAAATTTCTTTCTGCTGATCTACTGTCTTTAGTAAATTGATAAAAGAAAATATTGCATCTAAAACATTTTCTAAATGTTTTCGTCCTTCAAAAGTAAGTGTCATGGTGAGCCGTAATAAGGTGTACAAAGAATTTGGTTGAATCTTACAATACATTACAGACATATTATTGTCTAATGTAGAACTCCACGTTTTTTTTTGCAGATACTTAATTAAGGAACCTTTTCCTTTATATCCAATAATCAACGGGATATATTGATATGAGTTACATTTATAATAATCAGAGAACGAAGGTAAGGCCCACGTTATTTGTAGCTGCAAAAAAGAAAGTTTATTTATATAAATTTTTATGTTGTATAAACTTAAATTTTTTTATATCTGTTTCAATTTTAGTCATTTACTTGTGTCAAAAGTTTCGTTTTATCATGAATTGTATACATTCTTCGGAAAGCGGAAGTATCAAAAGGCAGATCGTTTTTAAATTTGGAAAAATTATCTGGAGGCATTCTGTTATTTGGTACACGAGCAAAGGACGCTTTTACAAATTTTTCCATTGCATCCAACGATAGTCCCGACTATAAAAATATGTATCATGTTATGATTTAACTTTATTTAATAAACAAAACCGTAAATCTATAAGTAATAAATAATTCTCGCGTCACAATTTTAACAAAGTTACCCGTATTGCTAGCTTCATTCTGTGAGCGCTGTAGTGGCGCTTTTTAAATGTGTCTAGCACATTGTACAATTTCTCATAATCTATACTATTCCAGAATTTTTTGAAATCGTCCACAGAAAACATGTTGGCTGGATGACCAGTTTGTGCGAAGGAGAAAAATAGTTGTTCGTATTTTGACTTGCCATTAAACACTGTGCCCATCTGAAACGCTATAATAAGCTCTATATAAGCATGGCATGTCAAGACTGCAAGTTGCGGTAACAATGTTAAGATTACAATTTATATACCAGTTTTTATGGCATTTAGTTGTTCTATAAATCTATGTTTTGGCAGTATAGGATTAATAAAAAAAAGACGAAAGTTGTGGAGAGCTAAAAACAAGTTGTTTTCTTCGATATCAAAGTAATATCTTGTATGCTCGTTTTCTATTGAGAAATCAGTAGTGCCATGATGATCTTGAATAAATTTTTCGAAAGTAATACGTTGCTACAAATAAGATAATACTTAAATACTTAAATATACGAATAAATAATTTATGCATTATGTATCTGTATTATGTGTTCTGATACCTCTGAACATTTTTCAGGTATTTGAAAAAATCTATATCCCAAGGCTAAAAAATATGATATGTTCGGAAATTGTGGTAAATTGCTGAAATTTCCTACGTTCACGCATAAACTGCACGCTGCCTGTTTAAAAAAATATAAAAGTAAATACATCACGCACATTACACGTAGTGTTAAATGGAGACTTGAATATAATTGACAGAATGACTAAACAGTTTGTAATTGTATCATACATTTTGAAATCAATTTATGGAAACTTGTCTGCAGTGCAGCAGATTTCCAATTCCAAAATTTCCCTTCTGATAATACACTGCTTAAATTTTATGAAAATGGATATCTCTAATGATTTTAAAGTTTATTGTTAATATTAATTTTAAATATAAGTTTTGAATAACAGTTTTGTTAACTAAAAAAATTAGTAAGTCCTAAAATGCAAATTAAGTTGTCTTTTTTATACCTTCTTTTTTCGAGAAGTAGATGTTAAATATTTATCGGATATTAGCAAAGCTTCCAAACCGTTTGGCAATCTGATAGCTCTAAATTTTGAAGACAAAACAAACAATATTAAAATGAAAAGTCAGTAAAAATATTGTATACTTTGTTGATTATTTCAGAAATCTTAATGCATTGTAAGATTCCTTTCAAAAGATTACTATCTTTTTATGTCTCACGTCTATTGTAATCGAAATCATGCTTATTACTGAGTATTTGCTCGTGTTTTACCTAAATTCCCTCTTGTCATTCTCCGATTTATCGGGCTGTTGCAAATGTTCAACTGGACTCTCCGAACTATTCCAACTATTTTTATCTGGCATTATGTCAAAGTACAGAAAATTAGAATCGAAATTATGTCGATTTGTGAACTACAATTTGATTCGGAAAAGTTCAACGTTTTCAGTTCTTTTCAACTTTCTTTTCAATACACCTAACACCATTCGAATTAGCACATTAACTGAAAGATCTTCTTTCTTTGCATAAATTTTGAATAAAGGTCAATACGGCTACTGTCTAATGTATATTATATATATACATAGAAGTTTAGATGTTTATTTATTTGTATTGTTTACATAATGATCTAGAGAGCTAGTATTCATAGTCCGTTTAAATTTAAAGCTTAAATCTTAATTTGTTATTTAAGTCTTAAATTATTATAATGCATTCTTATTGCATTTTAAAATATTGCTGATTATTAGCATTTGCAGCATTATTAATGTTATTGCATTATTTACATTATTAGCATTTGTAACATTATAGCATTTCAAGATATTGATAATTAAAATATGAATTATTAATTGAAATAAGAAATTGGCTATAAGTATTGGTTTATCCTATTATGATTATTGGCGTAATAATTTTTTATTTTGCCAATAACTAAATTTTGGCCAATCATAATCGATTAGTCTTTTTATATTTGATTGTAATTGGTAAATTTTTTACCGATTAAAACTTAAAACTTAGATAATATAGCTTATTGTAAAAAGCTTATAAATGAAATTCCACACGTGTTTGACTTATAAAAGAGATTTTATACGTTTTTGACCTGCAACTTGAGCCAATTTATTTGAACTGCACGCCGAGATGGAAGAGCGTGCGATTTAGGACTAACTGATGCAGTCGTTGTTTGAAGACACAATACAATGAAAGCATACAATGTTTAAGCATGATCAAATTGAGAGTGTACAAAGTTTAAAAATTTCCGCAAATATTTTCTTATTGGTTAATTTAAAGATGTAAAATACTTCTACAGAAATCTAGTATTTTTATAAAAAAGTATTTTGAGATAAAGCTTATTTGTATTTTTTTTATAAAAGTATTAAACTTTTTAAGACAAAAATTTTTATTATGTTGCAGACTGTTGAATGTACGTTATTTTAAAAAACATAACAATATGTAATATTTAACAAGATATAGAAGTGTAAAGATAAAAGTTTTCGATAACTGAGCACTTTTCTGTCTGTGCTGATTTTTTACTGAATTATGGTGATCTGTAGATTATGCAATTTCAATTGTTTCGAAAGTATTTTCTACGTTTTGATGAGTAGTGTTTTCGCGCGCGCGCACATCATACATACATACACACATATTCTTATGTTTGTCAATGCTATCAGAATTGTTTAAAATTTTATATATTAAATGAGGATTTATAATTAAAAAGTTACAAATAGTAATATAGATTTCCTAAAGATATCCTTTATTTTCAAAACCTAACTATTGAACTTTATTAATAAAAATAAGATCAATGGTATGTCGGTATCGATGGCTTTCCACTATACATGTATAATTTTACTTTAAATTCTTATTACCTTTTAATTAATGTGAATGCTAGCATTGAAAGTCGTCGCAATTTTTTTCATACTTCTTGCTTGGCTTTTATAGATGTACCATCTATTTTTTTATTTTCTACTATATTTTTGTGATTTAATATATACTCTACTAAAAATATTTTTTCGAATAAGGTAAAATTTTTCTTTTTTTATGTACACGTACTAGTTTGTTCCTGCATTTTTAATTTAATGTAGGAGTGTGTGTGGTGTTATTTTACATGTCAATAATTCGAAAAGGTTATTTTCAAACAAGAGCAAAACGCAGCTTTAACCTGATAAAAAATCGTTCATATCTTAATATGTATAAATATGTATAAACATACATAAATATTCACGTATAATCATATATGAAATATGTCCATATGTAAATATTCGTACTTATATCCCTCTTTCTTTTGTAAAATTACTTTTTAGTATAATAGAAATAATAATAGTAATCTGAAAACATAAAAAATAATTATTCCACACCATAGTTGCCGTCCATATAATTATTATACATGTTATAATTATTATACATTCTACATGAAATTCTAATTACTTAAATATATCGTGACCTAATATAATTGTCATTTGTCTGTATTATCAAAATAGTTGTCTTTTCGTAGAGCTTTTTTAAATTTAATCGATAGTGTTCTCTTTTTTGTTACAGATCATGGTGTGAAATATGATTAGTGATTGTTTTGGTGAGTACAATTTAGGGTATGGGTGATGGTTTTTTTCTCATAGAGAAATCAATATATATCTTTGAAATCAGTGCGATTCATTTTTTATGTAAATTTTGTATGTTGATGTAGATCTTTGTACGTACTAAATAATGCTTGCAAGAATCATACTGATTTACAACAGTAGTGTACTGTTGTATAGTGATTTACAACAGTATGAGTAGAGATTTGTATACATATATGTTATATTATATTTTGCGAATTAATATTGACCGTTATAAAATAATTTTCCATGTACTTGCAACTGTGACGCAAATGTGCAAATATCACAATTTTTATTGTTGCGACAAGTAAAAACACATATACGTGCTTCTCACAATGTTATTTATTTAAGCCTAATGTACAGTAAAATCTATATCATAGTATTTCTATTATATAATATATAGATCTGTTTCTTTTTCGGTGAGATATACAGCTGAAGGAATATTGCAATTTAATATAATTTTGGTATTCGTACACAATAATGTATCAATAGCCTAAGTGTCAAAGCGTCCTGTAATGGCTATACTTACAAATCTATCGTTTAATTTAATTATTATCGGTGTATAGACAATTTATTGAATTGGAAACAATTTGATTATTAAGTGAAAGTAGCATCATGGTGTTTTATTTCATAAGGAATACGGTTAATATAACTCTTTTTCTTTAAAGTTACAGTAGTTAGAATCACACACAAAATGACATAAGCTGGATAAGAATAAGGATTAATAAGGATTAATCCGCCTCTGGATTAATAGCATCCGACATATAATAAAAACGCGTTGATTTACATAAGACATTCATTCCAGCGACCTTATCCTATGGTTATGCAATTTACATTATTTTGTGTGTGATCGCCTTTAGTGCATATCCACACAAAATTGCAGTTGCATAAACATATGCATAAAGAAAATTATCCAATCGCATTTCTCTTATAAAGATGCACATAAAATGTGATTGAGTTTTCTTTATGAATATGTTTATGCAACTATATATATGGAAGTTTGTGTTAATATATCCTTCGGTTTGACATCTCACATAGCGAATTCGATTGGATGCACCCAGTGTGCACTGGTGCATATTAAAGCCGTTGTACGCAAATTGACGTAAAAAAATGTGTTTAATAAATAAATATAAGAACGAATTAAACCGTGAAATCCTTAATACATTTTATTGTGCTGTTAAGTAAAATCCGTATTTTATAATTCGAAACATTTGCATTTTACTTTTGCACGGATTAAATTAGTGTATATAACGGCTTTAATATGCATTAATGCATCCAATCGAATTTGCTATTAATTACATTGTGTATTTATTAGCCGGAAATTTCGTGTAGGAAAAAATAATAGAGTGATGAAGAATATTTAATAACGATAAAACGTATCGCAGCTTTTATCGATACATTCTCCTTCTCTTCTCTTTCCGTTTAAATAATATAACATTAAGTAACATTTTAATATATTTAATATTGCTAAAAATTACATGCTATTACCTTCAAATTTCAACTTTAGAGATTCGAGTTTATCCCACAAAATTTATTATCAATCACTATGTCAATGTTTGAAAATGTAGGAATCAATAATTATCCTTCTTCTAATTCGATTTTCTTTTATGGTACAAGCTAACTTCCTCGTCTATAAGACGATGAGCTCTCTCTTTAAAGCCTCTCTTTAAAGGAGCAAATTTTCCATATATGAAATATTCTTAAATAATATTTAAAAGTATATATGGGACGTTTCAACCGGAACAGTAATGCAGCCAGAATTCTATACAACAAAAAATCAACATTAGGATATCAAAACATTTACATAGGATCCTAGTTCCGAATTCCACTTGATTTTTTAAAAAATTCAATATAGGGGATCCAATATGGCAGACAAAAGTGAGAAAAATGTAGCTAGAAAATAAAGAAAATTGAAAAACCAAGAGAAATGATCCATAAATGTTTCCTATATTCAAATTAATTTATGGGATGTATGAATTTTGTGAAAAAAAATCGAATCAATAATTTAAAATGGTGGTTTTAAAGTGACAGCTCAAATCAGTAAAATAAAGTAAAATTATCTCTTTAAATTGATTATAATTTTTCATGAATTATTCAAAACTCTCTGCATTTTATAGAGTCGGGACTGTCTTTATATTAAGCTCCAAGAGCCTGCATTATCTTTTTAACATTTTGCATCAGTTCCCTTATGTTTTTTTAATTTTCTTTATTTTCCAGCCATGGTTCTTCTCACATATTGAATCTCCCATAATGAATTTTTCAAAAGACAAAGTGGGACTCGAAAATAAAGTCCTATGTGAATGTTTTGATACATCAATTTTAATTTTTAATCACATAGAATTCTGCGTTACAGTTTCCATTGTCGTAAAACGTCTCATATATAAACATTGTTTGAAGAAATAATAAATTCAAATATGCGATATATACTATAAAGTAAATCCGTTATATTAATAGCATCGTGCAAAAAGGATGTGTTTAAGAAATCATTTGTTTGCTACAAAATCACGTTAAACTTTTCTACGTTTTACATTAAATAATTTTTGCGATCACGGCGATTCGTATAATTGCATTGTAATAATTACATAAATCTCAAAGAGACTAGTATAGTTATAGGATTTGGCGTCGAAATCCACTTCACATTTGTCCAGAAGGCCTATTGTCGGAGACAATCTTTTATATAAATGTACAAGTAAAGCACAAAAATTACCACTTACATGAAATATCTTACGTGACGCACACACCCGACATTTTTACATATTTCTCGGTCAAAAGTGGACTTGAATTAT